AATATTATAAAAAAATATTTGTATTTAATATTTAATGTATATCCACGATATATAGAAAAATTGGTCGAAAATAAATTTTGCGTGCCCGCAGCAGAAAAGTAAGGGCACGAAAAAGTAAATCCTCTTTACTACTAAAACCTGAAGCCCTTAAGACCATATTTTCAGCAATTAATAATTATCAAATGCTGAAAAGCATTGATATGAACATTTTTATTTCACATTTTGACTGAAACCTAGGAAGGAAGACATCATAATAATTATACACAGTTAGGAAAATAAGTCAAAATTAGCGGGCATGATGGCAGAGGGGTCGGACCTACGGACGATCAACTTGAAAGTCCGAGGTTCGAATTTGGGGCTGGGACCGTGCACAACAGATCAAAAAGTATCATCGAACCGACAAAAATATTGCACTATTTAAAAAATCGACCTGGCTGGGAATACCCAAGGGTAGTAACCATTAAAAAAGAATCTGATAAAATTGTTAATTAATATAAATTAAACAAATATCCCATATAAATGTCAAATTAATATTTCAAAAATATGTTTTTTAAATATCTGATATAAATGTCAAATAAATATTAAAAAATATATATTTTTTAAATGTCTGAGTTAAATGTCAAATAAATATTTAAAAAATGTATTTTTTAAATATCTGATTTAAATGTCAAATAAATATTTAAAAGAAATATTTCTTAAATATATAAAAATCTGTGGCGTCAGACCTACATTAAATATAAAAAAAAAAAATTACTGTAATATTTGTGTGCTATCGGAGGCTAACAAATGGTAGGTATTAAAATGAATCCCTCACCACACCCACTGGGGGAGACGCTTAGTTTTTTGCATATTTGCGTTTTACGCAAAAAACTACGTAACTTTTAATAAAGCTTTATTATCGAAGTTTTTCGTATGGCGCTATATTCGATAAAATCAAATATTTGAGGGATTCATTTTAGTTTCTTATGAAAGCTTTTGCCAAATTATCTGATGGGCGTTTTTTTATTTAGTTCCGTTCCAAGACTCAAGGGTAATTTTTTTATATTACTCAAGCGTTTCCAGGCTTCTAGGACATCGTATTACAAAAGTAACTTACTGTTTGCTGATAATTTATACAAACAGGAGAACAGAGCGAAAAAACTGAAATAGTCAATACCACAATAGTAGCCTCTTAAGGGAATAATTGCTCGCTAAAAAAAGTTATAAGACAAAAATTGTAGGTTTTATATATTTGGCTTAATAAGATAAGCACTCTTACTTGTTATTACAAACAGGGTCGTATTTATTATAAGTTTTACCGATAAACTAATCTATGCAATGTTTTTACTAATTTGAAAACATCCATAAAAAAATCCATAATCCATTGAAAACATCCATATAAATGTATCGATGTATGTAAGGATAATAAACAATAAGCCAAACTTTTCAAGACATTTATTTAATGTATATTTATTTAATGTATAATTATTTAATAGTTTAAGTTGGTCATTTAAATACTATAAATACAAAATCTGATACGTATTTAAGCTGATCAAAATAAATCATTTGTAAATTATTAATAATTTATTATCAATTTAACAATACTCATAATTATCACTGTCTTTCTTTGTGCTAATATCAAGACAATGCCATTATTTTTTTTCCAACAAATTCAAACAATCCCTTTTAAAAAATTATAAATTACTAGCCAAGAGCGTATAAAGTTTACCTATAAATTTCCGTACGATACTATTTGTTTGTCATTTTTATCTAGAGCTTATATAGGGTTCGAAAGTCACGAAGGAATGAAAAAAAAATGATTGTTGGACTCGCGGTTGTTTATCTCGACAATTTATAAAATAATTATCATCAAACAAAAAACAAAATCACCTAACCTTGAATTGTCCTAACTAACTTGTAGAACTTGTCAACGATACGTTCGATAACATCAAACCGGTAGGCTTATTTGATTGGTTCGAATCGCCGCAATCGATAGAAGTGACAAGAAGTGGCGTATACGTAGACGCTTGTATTATTGAGTTGTTTAGAAAAGTATGTTAATTTCATTATTCGTATCGAAAATTAAATAACACTGACGTCACCTTTTCTTCACGTCATCACTTTAAAACTGAGGCCAATAGTTATCTTCTTTTCGGAGTTGGCAGTGTCTGACTTGGCACCGCTGCGACAGCTTGCCAACGGCTTGACAGTTGACGTCTGTCGAGCACATGGAATAAGATAAACATTCTTGTCTTCATCTCCCGCCAAGTAGATCAGGAGGCAATTTGTACGATACATTGGAATAGAAACCTTATATTAAAACTTGCACGTTCTAGATTAAAATCGCACAGTAGATTTATTTTTCATCAAAACTAGATCAATATTTCTAGCAGAATGGCATCGTTACTAACTAGAGGAGCTCTCGGGGTAATTGGCAAATACATTTCTTTATTTTTTTTATTCGTATAAAGTTCAGTTTTCTTTAACATCAATTACATTTTTAGACAATAATGCAAGGGGAGGATATTACTGGGCCTGTGGTCCAAGTGCTAAGCGTGAAGAAAATCAACACTGGATCGGGAAATCCGGATAAGGACCGGTACAGAGTGTTTTTGTCTGATGGACAATACACTGTATCTGCTGCTATGATGACCGCTCCAGTGTATGCAAAAGCAGGGGAAAAGGGCTTGACTAAGTTTACAATCATGAAAATTGAGCGATTTATTACCAGCGTCATAAATAACCCGGATGGGAGAGATAGGTAAGCAACGTTGATGTTTGTTGCAATGTATTAATTTACTTCTGTAAAATATATTCCAAGAAAAGTATTGTAGTCGGTAATTAACCTGCTTTTCGATGATTTCCGCAAAATACTCGTTTTTCTTTGCAAGTAAATATTCCAGTGCGCTTTTTATTTTGATATATTAACGGGCCATTTAAACGTTTTTTGGACTGTCTATCCAACCGACCCTCAGAGGACATTTGTTCTCTGAATACCGTGCAACTATTGCTCACTTGGTCGGGTTGCTTATCCACTAGCTGAATATTAAAAACTATCCCAGTCTCTGGTTACTTTGTTGAAAAATGTAGGTGCATACTCAAATATTCGCAACTATTACCCGACGTAATTATCCCCCAACTAGTTTATAAACTGTTACAAAATTAAGGCGTGTAACAGTTTATAAACTGTTACAAGCCACAATAAAAGTACACAAATTGACTACCTAATGAATTTGGATATTTACAAATTATACATTTTTCATTTAAGTCACAAGTCATAAATAAGAGGTGTATTTTTTAGAGGTATAGAACTTTAAATTTAAATAAACTTACAAAATTCATGTTAAGGTCATGGTACTGGCTTCATTGAACATGCCATTAATAGCTTAAATATGATTTGGCTGCGTAAATAAAGAAAATTGCCGGATTTCGAGAGACGAAAATCCAGAAGACATTATTGAGAGCCCGTTATATCCAGAAAAACTCACTGTTTTTGTGCTTTACGGTCTAGAGGAAGTTTGGTGGTCAAAAATTAAACTTCCAGATTGCTCTTCATTCGAGCCAGCGGCGGCGCATTAAGTATACCCCGAATTAAAGTTGATTTATAATGGCATACAATTGCGTTTCCAATAGAGCCAGTACCATGACGTTAATATGATTTTAGTGAGTTTTATTTCAGTTTAAATTTCTACACCTCTAAAAAACACCCTTTACTTAGGGTCAAGTAAGTGCCTTATCAAAAGATACTGTGAGATTATTTGACTGATCAAACTTTTATTTATACCACAATATGCTTTGGTAGGATAGGGAAAGTATTGCAATGGATTTTAATGAAAAAAACTTGCTGTGGGTTTATTCCTAAGTAAAACTCAGGTTTGGATAAAAACAACCGCATTCATCTCTTTTGGATGAGAGGTAAATTTTTGACCGTCTTGATTGGAGAACTTTTGTTGGTTATCTTAAATTCATACATTTTTTCAGTCTTTTCTGGATTCCTGGACTCTTTCGAAATTGTCGTCAGCTGTAAAATCTCAAAGCATTCACAGTTTTTGTGCAAAGTATGTTTGTGTATACTATAATCAATTTAAAAAGTGAAATCTATTAGAATCGGTCCATACAGGGTTTTTCCGTATATTTAGACAACTGCAAGCCTGTTTATTGTTAGAGGTACGGAAAACTACTGCTCTTGAATCTCCAAAAGAAAAATTGTTGATGAAAGGAAAGAATTACGCAAAATTGATGAATTTGTAATGAAACATCTCATATGGATATGTAATTTTCGATCAACAGCTAGACTTTTTATTTCAAAAATATTTACTTAATATGCTTGAAGTATTTCAATAAAAATAATGTTTATATTGCTTTTCCAAGTTTCAGTTTCCATGAGTAAATAAATTCACTGAACGTTACTGCTAATTTGTATTCACTCTCTGGCTTTTCTCCGCTTCGCTATTTACGTAAAATGAGTTGTACCATTAATCCCCCACCAAATAGTCCAGATATAGCGACGTTAAATAATTTATTATTGCACCGGCAATCTAAAAGTAAGAAGCGAAAAATGAGAACAGAATTAATCGAAATGACTACCGATTTACTGAATAGCCGTTCTGAAAGTATCTTTAAGATGCACACAATAAACAGTTGAAAAAAATTAATTTGGAAACTAATTATTTGAAAATATAAATAAAATTTACTAATGACATGCAATGCATTTGTTTATTAATGGTCAAATCCGATGTGATATAACTATGTACACATTGTCTTATACAGAGTGTTTTATAATAAAGTGTATTTGGGAGACACAAGGACTTGTGTTGAAGGTCATTTTAAAAGGAGTTTTGGCAATAAAGTTTTTTTTTTATTTTATTTTTCGCGGGAATTATCGATCTGAAAAATGACCGGAAACAATTACTCTTTTTACTCCTAAACATAGAAAATTGTATATTTGTTATACATTAACAATTAGTTAAATTGTTGAGTTGTTTTTATTACTCCTTTTTGGATATACTGCAAACGCACAGTTCACTTTTGGAGCAAGGAAAAGTTCGTTCGAATCGACCCCGATCACCCACAGAGACGTTTTACCATTAACTTATGATGTGGCATAATTCAAATTTATTAAAAGGAAAAAAATCTGGCGAATTACACAATGCGTATAAAAATATTAAAATACAATAAAAAATCACACAACAATAACAGACAAATAATCAATAAATAAATTACATGGGTAAATTCAGATTTAGTTCGGACTTAAACGCTCCCAAAGAAATATACAAAAATGACAAATCTAAATTGTTAGCAGTCCTGCATACTCTGTCGATAATCATACACCAATAATAATAGGCGCGAAAATTGTGGGACCGGTTTTTTTGCCCAGAAATATTAACTAGTCAGGGCTATAACGAGCTAAGACAAATGTTTGCAATAATTTTTGACGCAGTTAATTTAAAAGAAAGGCAGGAAATATTCTTTCAACAAGACCGGGCTTCAGCTCATAATATGAAAGAAATTTTACCGTTATTACATAGATATTTTGGTGATAGAATTATAGCTGTACACAGTGATATACGTTTTCCGGCAGGATCCCCTGATATTTTTCCATAGACATTTCCTAGACTTTTTTGTGGGGTACTATCAAAAATGAGGTGTACTGGTAAAAAGATTAAAAGACTAAAACTAAAAGCCCGGCAAGTACTCGGTAATTTAGACGGTTAAGGGGGTATTTTTGAACACTTTCTGTGAACATCTTTATTTTTAAATATTGCATATTATTTAATTTTATTTTTGAGTTCACAGTTGTAAAAATTTTTTTACCATATCAAATACATACATCAATTAATTCTTCCTTATCTTTGATTTTCTGTGCATACGCATCTGCCTGAACATTCAAGACAATTTTTACGGGGTTTCCAATCATTTCATGCGAACAAATTTCGCAAAATTAGTAAAAGTTTGGTTTTTTTTGGTGTTGAATAAGGATGATTTTTGCAGTTCAGAATAAGACTAGTTTTCGAGTTATACACATTTTTCGATGAAGCTACCCATATCTTTCACAAACAATTGTCTTGATCTTTTTTTTATTACGAAAGTGTATAAGTGATAATTTTAATCGTTGTAATGTATACTTTAAAATGTTCTAAGTGACTTGGGGGTTGATTTATCGTTAAATCGCTTAAAATTGCATATTAGTATAGTAGGTTGGTGCAACAAATTTTTGTAAATAAAAAAATTACAGGCAAAGACCAGATGAAAAATGTTGCTGAGGTTCCAACTTTAAGGAAAATAAAATTTTAAACGTGAAAACAATGGAAGTGGTGAAATGGGATTGCAGCCTATTGGCTGATAGCGGGTTTTTGCGGTTTACGACGAAACGTAACTTCCTACCGGAAAACGTTCAATGCAAAAGTTGTAGATAATTTAAAAATCTAAAACTGGTGTATTTCAGACTTTTGATATAACCTCAAATTAACGGTCAAAATGGCAAAAAAACAATTTTTCAGTATTTATTTCAGATTTTTGTATTATCCACAACTCTGCTATTGAGCATTTTCTGCTAGGTGGTCACGTTTTGCCGCAAATCGCAAAAACCCGTTTTCAACCCCTAAACTGCATTCTCATTTCACAATTTCCAGTGTTTTCGTCTTCCAATTTTATTTTTTCTTAAAGTTGAATCCTCAACAACATTTTCCACCTGGTCCTTATCTGATATTATTTTTTTACTATATGACAATTCGTATCGGCACTAGTCTATAATGCTTTAACTCTACTTGATTTTTAGCAATATTGTGCGCAACTTTATCTTGATTAATTAAGCTATTTGAAAAAAAATCAATATAAGTAGTAATATCCCTCAACTACAAACGTAATAAGAAATAATCTAAAAAATAATTTATTCATCACAATGTCCATCTCAAACAAAATCTGAAGGTATCTGTTTATTCCAGAGTCCTGAAAAACCCCTCTTTTTTTTGTAAATTGATGAATTAAATTATTCCTCCCATTTTCACTATTCCTAACACTTTAGACGTAAGTTATAAAATTAGATAATATTCAATTAATAAAATAACATTTGGAAAGTACTTGAAATAGATATAATCAACCTATTTTTTCAGTCGTGTTCTTCTCATTTTGGATCTGCTCGTCCTAAAAGATGGTGATGAGGTAAACGAAAAATTCGGTTCTCCCGTTCCATACACTCCTGATGCAAAAAGTATTCCTCGTCCAAATGGGTCTTCAGCTTCAGCTGTGAGTAACTCGACCGCCTCTATTTCAAACGGTAAAGATTCTGGACCCCCTCACAAAATTCAAAAGCTGAATCCAACTAATGGTAGTACAACCAATGGGAACATTTCCATTGCTGGACGAATCACTCATCCAATCTCTAGTTTGAGTCCTTATCAGAGCAAGTAAGTATATATATTATTTGATTTATTGTTTCCCAAGAGAAAACGTATTTTCCTTTTAAGGTGGGTTATTAAGGCAAGAGTGATCAACAAAGGGGAAATAAGAAAATGGGAAAACGCTAAAGGATCAGGACAGCTTTTCAACTTTGACTTGGCTGATGAAAGCGGGGAAATTAGGTGCACCGCTTTCAGAGATTTGGTTGATAAATATTATGATATGATCCAGGTAAACAGCATTTTGGCGTAAACATTTTGTCGTTAATATGTGCCTATTTTTTAAATTTATCATTTATTTCTAGCAAGGCCTGATTTTTCTTAAATTGACTAGATTTGGTATACACAGGCTGCGTCAGATTTAGCCGTCGAATGTTAAACAGTGTATTTTATTGGTGGAATATTAAGAATATGTCACATATCAATTACCCCCGTCGCGTCCATTGCTGAACATAGGCTTCCCGTGGTCTGTCCACTCCTCCCTGCACTGCGCCGCCTGCATCTAGTTGTGCTTGATAGCCTTACTCATCAGTCCACCTCGTTGGTCGACCTCTATTTCGGCAAGCCTCATGTCTCGGCCTCCACTGAAGGATTTTCTTGGTCCATCTTTCGTCAGTCGTTCTTGCAATGTATCCTGACCAATTCCATTTTAAGGTTGTTATTATCCGGACTACGCCGCTACACATGTTCTTCTTCTTATCGAAATACCTAGAATGGCTCTCTCCATTTTTTTTTGTTTTTTTTTTTCGTTTTTTTTTTCGGTGAGGTCTATGGAGAGAGACTCCCAAAGTCTCTCTCCATAGCTTGTTGTGTCACTTCTAATTTATTGATGAATTTTTTTTGTCAGAATAAGTGTTTCCGCTCCATGTTTCATAACAAGCAGGATACACTGACTGAACGCTTTTCTCTTCAAATATACCGGGATGTCGGACCTAAATACATCCTCAGGTTCCCAAAAGCTGCCCAAGCTAGATCTATTCTTATCTAAAACTCAATAGTTTGGTTATCAGAGTAGTTGATTAATTAGCATCTTGGAGCTTGCATTGGCTCTTTTATTAGAAGAAGAAGATAATGAAACCTGGATTTTGTTATTAATTGCGAATAGAAAACCTCATCATTCTATGTACAAACATCGATATATAGATGATACTAAATTCCACGCTTATTTTCGCTTAAGTAAAAATCAATTTGATTCGTGCCGACGGCAAAAAGAAATAGAAATATTGCAATGAAATCGCTTGCGTCTCACCCTGGATTGGTCTCGATTGCAGTGCCTGCGTTCCCACGTTGCGTCAAACTTCAGACGCTAGACGTCGACGCACTAGTTATTCCATATGATCAGTCTCTGCGATGGACGCTGCAACCGCTGCTTGCGTCAGACGCATTCATCAATCGCACAAGCAAACCCAGACCTTAAGCGAAAATAAGCGTGGAATTTAGTCTCATCTATAAGATACTTTGAAATAAGGTTGACATAAGTCCCTTCTATATTTCGATGTTTGTACATAGAATAATGAGGTCTTCTATTCGTAATTAATAGCGGAATCAATTTCATCATCATCATTTTTTTCTAATAAAAGAGCCAATGCAAGCTCCATGTTACTAATTAATCAACTACTCACATTTCCCTTTGCACAGTGCTCGGGCTGCCGACTTTTCTCAACTTAGACGCACATGCCAAACCATCTTCGACGCATGCGATGGACGCTGCAGCCGCTGCTTGCGTCAGAAGCCCTTGAAGCATTTTATGTTGGTCAATAGTATAAAATGCTTTCTCGAAGTCTACAAATATGAACATGAGCGGTTTATTGTACTCTACGCATTTGCCAATTAAGGTTTTCATCACCTGTAAAGCTTGGTTCTCATGAGTCGGGTATGCTATTTAGAAAGCGGATTACGGGTCGTGGGCGCGCGGCCTTACTACGCTTCGAGAATTGTACGCTGTTCACATGTATTTCGGATTACTATCGACAATGCTGGTAGATCTTTCGAGAAACGAGATGCGATACAACTCTTGAGTACTTCACTTCAATAAGTAAAATGATTTCCTGTATTTTGAGGCGCATAAAATGGACGTTTGAAACCACAAGTTAAATTTGCTTTTGTCTTTGTTATTTGTGGACTCAGCCTCTGTGATCTGTGGATGTACTATCGACCATAATCTTTCACTGGAGATAACCTACGTTTTCACCTTCCGCACGACAAGCGGAAAATTTTAGAGTTTGGGAACTTCTGCGGATGAGCGGAGCGAACGCATACGGCAGGCGTATGATTGGTCGGAAGGCTTCCCGCCCCACGCATTCCGGATTCATGAGAACCCAGCTTAAGTGGTTGGTCGTTCGTTCCGTATCCACGGCGGAAACCAAGTTGTTTTCGTGTTTGGCAGTTGTCGAGATTGTTTGTGTCTTTTTGTTATTCTTTTCGCGTATGACTTATAAATGTGTGAAAGGAGGCTGATGGGGCGATATTTTTTTAGATCTGTGTTGTCGCCCTTTTTGTGCATGATGAAAATAACAACATTGTGCCACTAGGAAGGTGCCTTCTTAAAGGCACAAATTAAAGAGCTTTTGGATAGCATATATTCTTCTTTGATTTTCTTTCTTGATTGCCTTGAGCGAAGTTGATATTTTGTCGGTACATATTTCCAGGATATCCACCGATCCAACATTCTGAACCTTCGGTATCAGCCCTGTATTTACTAGGTCCGCCGTTTTTCTATAAAACTCCGGGTAGAATTCACTTTAGTAATTTTAAGAATTTCCTCTCTACCTGTCTGAACACTCTATCAGCGAACCTACAAATGTTTTTCCTGCCTTCCGTAAGGTTGCTCCGCAGCACTCTTAAGCTCCTATTTTCTTCAATTACCCGGTAGACTTGTAAATATCCTTGTTTAGTTGTCTAAATGCATCGCAATTTTGCCGTATCCATTCCACATATCTCTTCTTTCCTTCATAAGATTCTTCGTACTTCTGGCTCACTTTATCTTCTTTGGTTCTTGCTCTTACGCAATGGTTTTTTGAGTTTACTTTATAATGTTGATAATTTTCAGACTTAAATCGTCCACATCTATTTCGTCGTCTCTCAGGTGTTCTAGGTTTTTGAGCCATGTTGACATTTCCTCTTCATATCCCGCCTTATTCTCTATCGATGTCCGTTTTTTGCCCTGGATCGTTGCCACCATCTTTGCTTTCTTGTTCCTAACGTTTATTTTAACTTTTGCTCTAACCAGCCTATGGTCGCTACCTGCCGCAACTTGTTCAATACTATTCAGAACATCCTGGACGATACGTTTATTATCAGTGGCAATAAAATCGATTTTGTTCTTTGTCATACCATTTGGGCTTGAGCAGATGCATTTACGAAGAGGGCATTTGTTAAGGAAGACTTCATGGCGTGCAGTCTCTATTGAAGGAGAAAGTGTGAGCCCAGACTGCTGCCAGGAATGCACTATAAAGTTATTTTGACACAAACATATTTGGAGTTAAAGGGACAGAACTTCGAAAAATTCCTGTTATGTGGCAAAGTTATCCTAACTTCAAAGTACTTCTTTCTTCTCTGTTCCTTTCTTTGTTTTCGGGTTACTCATGGTTACTAAAACTTGTAGTAATTAAGAAACAACGGATATATACGTAATAATAATTAGGCAGATTACCTTAAAAGCCATTGTTGCCGTCTTTTTGATATAGTTTTTTGCAAATTTCACAGTTTTTAATAACAATTATTTTTTTAAGCTATTTTTTCTGTACCCTTAAAACCTTATATATTTTAATTTTTCTTCAATGTCGATCATCTTTTGTTCTGATCTTGTGATATAAGTGGCTGTGTGCAGTATTCGTTGTCCATGGTAGGTCCTGATCCTACCCGGTGATTCTTAGCACCCTCTGCCCCTGATCTGGTCTAATTGCTACGTAACCAGGGACCACTGAGCCGCCGGGGACTCATGGCCTTGTTGAGGTTGTGTCTGGCATGTAAGTTTCCTGGGGATTTTAGCCTTACTTCTGCAACGCGGGCCGTTGCGGGTTGGTAGAGAGTCTCGTTTTGGAGTTCTTAGCCTCGGTGATGCGGTTATTCCGCCGCGACTCGGTCGTCCGAGCCTCGTCTGTAAAAGTGCACCACAGTGCAGGTGATGTTGACATTTGAGTAGGATAGGTTTGAGTCGCATTCCTATATTACATTATATCGGTTTCAGACTACTATATCCGATACCTACACCTCTATGTCACATACAGCTGCCTCCTAAACAGTGTTGTTTCTAAGTATCTATGGGGTGTTTACGAAAATGGGCGAAAATGTTTGAGAAATTGTGATACATCTTTTCGAAATAAGCAGTAAAACCGAAAATTTTACATAAATCAAGTTTTTAATGAGACGAGCTTAAAGAAACTTGACATCATTTTTCTAAAGTTAATACACAGTTTCGCTTCACTATTAAAATAAGATCGTTGCGTATATGTACTTGTAAATGCGTTAACATTAAGTTATTAGGCCCACGGCTGAGCCGCAAAAAATTAAATAATTAATCAACCAGAAATAGCACTAAACTAAAAATATCCATATTTTAACCTAAATCTGTTATTGTTTAGGTTGATAAAGTCTACTACATCTCTAGATGCCAATTGAAGCCGGCAAATAAACAGTTTAACAGTTTGAAAAACGAGTATGAAATGGCCATGTCAAATGAAACTGTTATTGAAGAATGTCTAGATGATGATTTGTCTAAAGTTCAAACCCAATACGACTTTGTGGAAATCAGTAAAATTGTAGAGTTGGAAGCGAATCAGACAATTGGTAAGTAGTTGCACTTTTTTGTTTGAGCTTGATCAATATTTACAATTGATGCATACATCATACGATAGAATGATCATGATTTACAATTGTGTTTGAATGCTATTTGCATGAACAAAAAGAACAAGTATTATATTCGTTTGTATTACGAGAGTGTACCAAAAATAAACGGTACTGATTAGATTTCTAAATTGTTGCTTTGTGGTACAATATTTACGAAAACATTTTTTTCGCGATAGAAATAAATTATCGCAGTATATTGGGAACTTTTAAACCCCGCCTTGGTAGACATATTTCGGACGTTCACGCAGTGACCTCCAAACGCTTACTTCAGGGGTTCAAAAAGATGATAGTCGCAAAGTAACAAGTCTGGCCTGTAGAGACGTTGTTTCAATATTTTTCAGCCAAATTGAACAATTTTTTTCGTCGTAACGTTTGCCGATTGAAGCTGGGGTTGTGATAAAGAAAAACGTTTTTGATTATTGCGTATTTCTTTCTTCGATATGACAATTTTGCGGCATCCAGAAGCCCGGAATACTATCGCGTATTAATTGTGTGTCGTTCGAAGGGAAAATCCAGACAAAAAGCACCTCGCTGTTAAAAAAATCAGGTTTTTCCGTATAACACCACCGCTTCAGTTCTTTGTTTCATTGTGCGTTCCTAAACCATTTTTGCATTCAAGTTAACGCTTTAAGCTAGGTACTTAAGGAATACTTAATAGAAACTTAAACTTTGAAACGTGGATAACGATGGTGGAAACTATCTAAAACTCTCAGAATAAATAAAAAAGTTTCTGCTCTAGAAATTCAAACAGTAAAATAAGAAAAAAATGTGGATTTAAGCGAACTGGATGCGAAAACGACTAAAAATGCACTTGACGGTGCATACGTCAAATAAGATGAGGTAAATTTACAGATGTGAAGGTGCAGTTTTGAATTTGAAATTGATAATGGTGTTGTACTCATTTTAGAAAGTTTTAAAATATCTGAGTAGGGTGGAGTCGGTTTAGAAAAAAATGCAATTTTGTACAGCGTTAGAAAAAACAACATACTCATCAGATATTTAATTGGCAATCGGTCATTCGAAAACCACCGAAACAAATGGTTTACAATTGAAGGTTGACGGTACGATGAATAGACTTTCAAAACAAGGTGTCACCCAATCCATTAGGAAAAATAAACGAAAATGGTGTGAGACTGCCACTCTTACATTTTAAGCAGTAATTTTCATGTCAAAAGATGGAAAATTTGATCTTATGGAGACGTCCCAAATTTTCCGACAATGGCTAAAAATGGTTCAAAAAATACGAGGGATCTCATTATTTGCGGGCACTGTATTAAAAAAGTTATAATGGTCAAACTATAAAGTGGTCACCCTAATCTGTCTCTAATAAGTAAACAAGAATTAAATATTTAAAAATTTTGTGTTTTAATTGAAGTTATCTAAATACCATTTCAAAGCGTACTGTAATTGCAAAACCGCACGCATGTACTCTTCCCGATGAAGGTAAACTTTTCGACATGTACTGATAGTTTGACCAATAACAATTAAACAACAATCAAATATTGATTGAATAAAATATCGATGTTTTTCTTTAAGAAATAAACAATTTTATTAAACATTTTTTTTTGTACTGGCTAAATAAGCCCAGCAACACCTTAACAGGAATGACGTCGATGTGAAATCAGGATGTATTTTAATTCAAATAATAAAAATTTTCTACATTCTGGAGATATACATTCTATAATTTTAAGTTTTTATCTAAAATTAAAAGTCATCAATAAATTGATCATGAATCTCTCCCTACAAGTAATAAAATGTTTGTTTTTAAGAGTAAATATTGAATATGTTGGTTTTATTACCAGATGTTCTCGGAGTAGCTAAATCAACTGGAGAACTCGAGAAATTCCAAGCGCGATCAGGACGAGAACTCCAGAAAAAAGAAATTCAGCTGGTGGACCGCTCCAACTCTTCGGTGAGGATTGTTGTAGTGACAATTATTGATAACAACTAGTCTGTAAAGGAGTCGTCTAAATCCACTGACTCGAGGTAGAGAAATATTTTTAAAGTTTTACTTCTCTTTAGGTCACCTTAACACTATGGGGTGCACAAGCAGAAAACTTTGATGGATCTGGGAATCCAGTGATTGCGCTAAAGGGAGCCCGAATTTCAGAGTTTGGTGGCGGCAAAACCTTGTCTACCATATCAGGAACGCTTTTGAAGATCAACCCAGAAATAACGGAATGCTACCAACTGAAAGGATGGTAAGACAATTCCTATTTAAATGGTGATTGATTGAAAATATGCATTATTTTTTTGCAGGTTTGAATCAGACGGCATGAACGCAAATGCAAATGATATTAGCGCTCGAGGTGGACTGGGGGTTAGTTTCACTCCCCCGTGGATGTCCTTCAAGCAGGTTTGTAATGTTAATTATAAGATTTTTTCTTTATTTTTCTGGTTTTTAATTGCAAGGTATTCTTATTGCCTTAGAAAATACACGATATCCGGAAACTGGTCGTAACAAATGCGAAGGGCATCCTACACACCATCTTATAATCTACTTTATATTCATGCCACACTTTAATTTTTCGCATTAGTTAGAAGATATAGACTCTCAAAGGGCTCCAATGAAATACGTTTTTTTACACAAGAATCGTCCGGAATATTGAATTTTTTTATTGCTTTTACTATTTTTGAAAAATTATTTTCTCTTCGAAAAGAAGTAGGAACTGCACCAACTAGAATGTAGATTGTATTGATCTAACAACAAAATGTACTAGGGCGGACCGATAAGTACTTATCCTACGGAAAAACCGAACATTTTGGAAAAGTGCCGATTTATTTCTCAACATTCTTTTAGTGCGGTACACTTGACCTAGCGATGCTCAATCTTTTTTGACGCGTCTGAAGAATACGTTTGCTCGAGGTATGCAAAGCAGGTCTCCGTGGTGACGATAACCTCCTCATTCGATTGAAATTTCTGTCCGGCGAGTGACTTTAGAGGCAAAAAGAATTCGCACGTGTCCAAATCTGGAGAATTTGACCGATTTCGCCCTTGTGGCAACGAAGGTGTGAGCCGGTGCGTTGTCATGGTGGAAGAGCACTTTGTCGCCAAATAGGGCAGTTTTTTCTGCAATTCTACATTGAATCGGCCCAATAATTCGGTATAGTAGAGCTATGATCGTTTTTCCCTTCTCCAGGTAGTTGATGAAGATCACACCGTGTGAATCCCAGAAAACGGTAGCTGTCTTCTTCCCGACCGATATGACAGTCTTCACCTTCTTCGGAACAAGTTGCGCGGGTAAAGTCCACTGTTCCGACCTTGGTCTCGGGTCTGTACCAGTGGACCCATGTTGTGTCGACGGTTACAAAACGACACAGTAACTCCTTTCGATTGCGCTTAAACAGCGTCAAACGTTGGTCTGAAGTGGCCTAACGGTTTCGCTTGTTGTCCGGAGTGAGCAAACGTGGCACTAATCGCGCAGACAGGTTTTTTATGCCCCAAATTTCATGCAGGATAAGACTCACGCGGTCTTTTGAGCTGCCTACTGTTTTATATAACTCACGCGCCTTCAATCTGCGGTCGTGGCTAATTTGAGATTGTGGATTTTTGTTATGGGATCCTCTGTGATAGCGCTTTACGGGGCACCTGGGCGTGGCTCATCAAAAACCGAGGAAGAAGTAGAGTCACCGTACACCGCATCTAAGCGCTCTTTGATTTTGCTTCGTGATTTTCCTTTCAGAAACAAGTATCGAATCACCGACCGATAATGCCGTTTTAAAAATTTTGTTTTGAAATCCGAGCCCCACTTTCACACGTGATCAAAACAAAACTACGATTCGGATTTGGCGGAAATTTTAATTTTAGTGCCATAAATGTTGGGCGTTTTTTGGCGATAATTGAAGCTTTTCGTTCGAAGAGCTTAAAATATGTTAATCGATAAGGGCATATAAAAAGTATATTCTCCATTCAATCCGAAGCAAGCTGCGATTTTTGAAGTGGAATACATTCATAATATTTCATTAGTAGCGTCTTCGATTTTGAGGAAGGTGAGATTTACGTCCAAGTCAAAGCTGTTTATGGCAAAATGTATAATTTTTTAACGAAATGCCAGCTTTTCGTATTTCGAATCGGTTTGTCTGGAAGTTGCGAATTGCTATCGTTATGTGACAGTGTGAAGACCATTAGTCTTAAAAAATAGTGAGAAGTTTGAAAGTAATGACAAATTGCCCAATTCGAATAAATCACGCTATTTTACAAGACCAGTAAAAAAATGTTTGGAATGATGCCTATCTAGGCGATTTCTGGAAATCGCACATATATTGTAAACATTCCATTTTTAATTGGAGTACCATTCACATGTTATTTCTTTTAACTTACTGTGTTCTGGCATGTTGTCTAGACTTGTTATAACGAAAACAAAATGTTTAAAGTTTAAAATATCAACAGATTTATGTTATGTTTGCGAATCAAAACCTACTAGTGTTCCTCATTCTCCTTAAAAAAATGTATTGAAACAAAATATTTTCAGGCAAAAAAGTTCGAATTTATATAATTAATGTTCGTAGATTATTTGCTAATGTATTGATAATAAAGCGATCATTGGAATTGCAGGTTGTGGATCAGCAATTGGGATCCAGTCTTGATAAAGGTGATTACTACCAAGTGAAAGGCACTATTTTGCTGCTGAGACGCGAAAATTGCTTGTACAAAGCATGCCCCAAAGACGGGTGCAATAAAAAAGTTGTGGATAATGATAATGGCACTTACACCTGCGAAAAGTGTGGCAAAAGCTACGAGAACTTTCGATTCCGACTTTTATGCAACGTAAGTATGGCTTTATTTACAAATAAGTTTTTCGGTTTCGAAAAACTAGGCTAGTGGTGAGATATTCGGAGATAAAAAAGCGCATCTAGTTTGGCACTTGAATCGACATTGATATTCTGGGTTCTTTACCAAAAATGATGCCATCTTTGTAGGTGTAAATACAGTAAAATACCGATAAACACGTGGTTTTCGTTCCATCAACGTGAGCCTTAGGTCAACTCATTATGAATGTAATAAGGACAGCTGATTTAAATTTAAAAATTCTAGTATTTTGTCATTTGAAGTCATTCAATATATTCTTTTACAATACAAACAATACAATATCAAAAACTTGCTAATGGCAAATGTAGGACTATCACATTAATAACATTCCCTGTCGCTATTTAGGTTTCAGCTCACTCAGATTATTCTCCAATTTTACATTACATGCACCCATGACATCTGAGCTTTTCTCGCCATCATAATTTGTATAAAAATGTACGTGAATTTCAATAAATTATCAGACTATGAAGGCTTTCACGGCCGGTTGAATTACATTTAGGAATGTGAAATTTCTTCCTGACGTTTCGTCCACAACTGCGGTGGACATTTTCAAAGGCGATGAGGCAGTGGGCGAAGTGATCTCCCGTGCTTGCCGACTAAGACTGATTCAACTGCTGGATTCCCCGTCTTATTTATGCAGCCCAGCCGTGTGTGCTCATGCGTGGGGGATGGGTGGGGGGTCCAACGCTTCGGCGCACATGCTGTTTGGCGCAAAACGCGCTTCCAATCTGGATTTTTTATGCGGAATGCGGAAAACCTTCCGACCAATCAGAAGTTTGCCGGATGCGTTAGCTCCGCCCATCTCAAATTTTAATATTTTCCGCATGCCGTGCGTAACGTGAACCCTAGGTTCCAGTGATGCTTCAGTCAAAGCTTATGTTCAGCGGCGTCTATTCGACCGTCTTTCGTTTTGATGTCTTTGTTTCTTTCTTTTTAGAACGTACAAAGACAAAAGCAGATTTAACTTTTGGTTTCGAACGTTCATTTAATGCACCTCAAAATACTGACGAGAAAAAATGTAAAAAAATAGTTGGATCGTATCTCGCTTCCCGAAAGATATGCCAACACTGTCGGTGGAATGCGGAAAAATAATCCGGATACATGTGAACTGCGTAATTTTTTCCGCATGTAGTAATGGTAGTAGTGGGCTGCGCGCGCACTTTCCGAACTCCGCTTCCGCAAAGCATTCCGGACCCATGAGAACCAAGCTTCAGAGTCGAGGGTTTCAATATTCTTGTGCTTGCATTCATCCACCAACTCCCTGAGATCTTTATTATAAGGACTTAGGTCCGTATTTATAAACGAGTCGAGTCTCAAGCATGAGACTTGACTTCGATTGCGTTTTATAAACCATTCTCATGCTCAAGCCAGTGCTCACAGCGTTGATTGCTCAAGTATCGGACAACGGTGGCTTGAGGCTTGAGAATTCGCGAATTACTCTTTATAAATCGATCTCGGGGTTGACGACAGGGGACAACTGGAGTTGAAACAGTCTTAGTCGGAAAGCATGGGAGATTACTTTACCCACTGCCTCATCGTCTTTGATAAGGTCCACCGCAGTTGTGGACGAAACGTCAGGAAGGTAATTCCCATGGACCGCGGCTTTAAAAAACCAAATAGCCCGAAAAACATTTCTAAATCATTAGGAATTTAATGGTCTTCTCTAACATGGACTTAATGTACATGGTGTTCTATAAAAATTATACAAATGAAATCGTCTATATATTTAGCCGGATGATCGCTAATTTCAGTACACCCTGTATAATTCAGAACAACTTGCTGTATGTGGTTGTGGGATCAAGCCCAGAGCGCTCCGAACCCAGACCCAAAATTTGGAATTTTTATTTATCGAAGTGGCGTTGTACTTTAAGATTTCTTAGATAAGTTCTATATGATTGAGGCGGATTAATGATTTCTCCCAAGAAAATTAAGTTGCAAAATACAAGCCTAAGGGTTAAAATAAGAGGAAGAAGAGAAAAGCTTTTGAAATACACAGCAAAAAGGTTTTGAAAAAATATTTCTTACATATGTTTTGATTTAAAAAAATATGAATATTAATTACAAATTAGTATTGAATAGGCAAAAGTTATCGTAAAATCGGTATGGCATGTCTAAACGTCCAGTAAAACAGAGTGTCTCATTTAAATTATCGAAGTTGTAGATATTTTTCGATATAAGCAGCAACGCAGTATCGCTGAAATTTTGGGTCGTTAAAGCATATCCGATTACTTACTGCTACACATTTTCAGAAATATCACGTTACATAACGTTCTCCGTAAACGACTAATACGCCATCGACATCTCTCTGTATATCTTTATGTTATCCTGTATAATACTACACATTTCCAAAAGTTGCAAAAAAAATTGTCGGTAACTAAAGTTTCGAAAATGCACTGGTGAAAAACTTTAAAATGCTTCATCTGTTACTCTTTATAATATTTATGTAAATAACGTGGTTCGATTTACAATAATAACTTAAACCGAGTTTTTCGGCAGTTTTATAGTACCTACTCACTTCCGATATGGTCATAAAAAACACATTTTATAAACTTCACACCCGGAGGCTATGCACGTGGAAATCTCCCCAAGATAGCAATAACAACATCGTACGTAACCAAATAGATTATATATTAATCAATGGAAGATATCAAAATAGTATCAAAAGGGTCGCCGCGTATCCTGGTGCCGACCTCGACTCTGACCATAACCCTCTGATCGCAGACTTTCAATTTAGACTCAAACTAATGTAGAAGAAAACAACAACACATTATAATTATAACATTGATAAATTGAGGGAACCAGTGGTTGCAGACAAGATGAAATCCAAATTAACAGAACTATGTGCAATGAATAATAACAATCCCGGACATAACGACTTTCCAGATGACATATGGAATAACATAAAACAAAATATTCTGGCTGTTTTCGCCGCTTTTCTGGTACCAACAACAACAACAAAAAAAAACAAACCATGGATGACCGATGAGATATTCTCCCTTATGGAGAACAGAAGAATCAAAAGTCAAACAGCAACAACAAAGATACACCGAAATAAATAACAACAATGCAGACAAGCTAAAGAGAACTGGGTAACTGCAGAATGCCAAGAGGCGGAACGCATGGATGCTCTGCATGACTCTGTAAATTTTCATAGAAAACTCAAACAAATAACTGGTACCACAAAAAAGCACCAATACCTTCCCTAAAACGCAATGGGAAATTGATCTTAGATCCGGTAGATCTATGCAGCACATGGAAAAGGTATGCACAATTACTATTCGAAGACCAAAGAGAAGCCAGGCAACCTATCAATGGGGAAGAATGGTCGGGCCCGGAAATTCTTGAGTCTGAAGTTCAGCATGCTCTGAAAGCAATGCAAACCCGAAAAAGTCCCGGTCATGACTACGTGCATGCAGAAGTTCTTAAAATATTTGACCCAAAATATCTCACATAAGTATCTGTTCAACCTAATATACGATTCGGGTAAAATTCCAACCTACTGGTTAAAATCAACTTTTGTAACCATTCCCAAAAAGACATCTCCAAAAGATTGTAGAAAAGTTTTTCTTCGAGTCATACATGGTCGAATATACTCGAAATGTGAAGAAAGGAGCGGAGAGACACAGTTTGGCTTCATCAAGGGGTTGGGTACGGGAGAGGCTTTGTTTCCAATCAAACTACTGATTCAGAAGTGTTATCACCAACGCCAAGATGTATGTATGCTTCATAGGACTTTAGAGGATCTCCAGCAAATAATGGATAGGATAGAGGCCATGGGTAAAAGTTATGGTCTTAAAATCAACGCTACCAAGGCCAAACTTATGGTAATAGGTCGCCAGCCTATAATCAACACCGCATTGACGGTTGATGGAAATATTATAGAGCGAGTATCACGACTTAAATATCTGGGTGCCATGATCAACGAACGATGGGACTGCGATGAAGAAGTTAAACTTCGAACGAATTATGCAAGAACAACAATTTGTAAACATAAAAACTTTCTATTAACTCGCAGTCTCCCGCTAGCACTTAGACTACGGGTAGTAAAGTGTTACATATGGTCCATCTTACTATACGGCGCAGAAACGTGGTCTCTCAAAGCTAGAACCCTGAACCGCATCGAGGCGTTTGAAATGTGGACTCTCCGGAGACTCTTACGCGTGCCATGGACCGCACATGCCACGAATAAAGAAATTTTGAGAACTGCAGGCTGCGAACGAGAAATACTTAACATCGTTAAAGAAAGAAAAGTTTTCTACCTCGGCTATATCCTTAGAGAAGTCAGATAATACATTCCTAAAGAATGACTTAAGAGTGACTCTACATGCTAAAATAATGATAGTAAGTCATGTAACAAAAATTCGAAGTTGAATATTTTCCGACTTACAGGTCATCAAACCAATTTTTTTTCATTTGATTTTTAACCTATTCTGGTTACTAGTTCTATATATAGTTTAAGCTTGTTGATTTATAACTTTCTGATCAAAAATTGTTTATCCACTTTACCACTAAATGGCAAATCCAAATTTAATTTTTCGCATATGTTTTTTGGCATGCCAAATATCGCAAAAAGTAATGTGCAATTTTAAAGATTAGAAAATACTAGACAAAAAATGTGCTTCACACGGAAAACCTCTCCGTTTAGGAGCAAATCGACATCAACGTTTTTATCCATCTCAAACCAGTATTCTTGGATTTAATTGCAATAGCAGCAAATCAAATCGTTTCGTTATAAAGCTTGACCTAGTCAATAAAGTTGATATTTTATTACAGATGAACGTTGGAGATCACAGCGGCAATCAGTGGATTAGCATGTTTAATGATGAATGTGAAAAAGTGTTGGGTTTGTCTTCACAAGCCGCCGGCGAACTTATGGAGGCCAACAATGATGCTTTTACCGACGTAATAGAACAGGCTCAGTTTCAAGAGTTTATTTTGAAATGCAGAGTCAAAATGGAAACTTACAATGTGAGTATATATCACCTGATCACAGATCACTGATCACCACTGATTTTCCTGTTACTACCCATCAAATTTTTTATATTTTTTATTCGAGAGCATTGCAAGCTAAACTATTTTTTGAAGAATGTTAATGCCGCCAAATGATGCCGAATACTAAAAACATTCTGTGCGCATACGTGCGTGATACAGTATTGGTTGGCAAGTCGTTGATGTTTCCCCAATAAAAGAAACTATAATTAATTGAAGGTTAATTTTCTACCGTTAATGTTCGATCTCAGGATTAAAAGTAATATACAGAGTGTTCAGCCATGATGGATCTCGGTCATGCGTCGAAAAGTACCGTCAATTGAAATTTAATCAGTCAACCATCTCGTGTCCACTGTTGGACGTAGGTCTCTTTCATTCATCTCCATGCATCTCAGTCCTGTGCTGCTTGCATCCAGTTGCTGTGACAGGGTTTCAGATCATCGGTCCATCTTGTTGGTGGACGGCCTCGGCTTCGGTAGGCTTCCTGTCTCGGCCTCCACTCCAATATTCGTTTTGTCCATCTGTTGTCCGTCACCCTGGCGACATGTCCTGCCCAATTCCATTTAAGGATTGTTATCTTCTCTATTGCGTCTAGAGCTTTGAGAGAGATACCCAACATGACGCGTTCCAGAGCCCTTTGTGCTACCCGAATTTTGTGCACTGTTTTGTTCGTAAGTGTCAGGGTCTCTGCTCCATAGGTAAGAACTGGCAGCACGCACTGATTTAATGTTTTCCTTTTAAGGCTGACTGGGATATCTGATTTGAAAACATAATTAAGTTTGCCGAAAGCTACCCAGGCCAATCTAATACGCCGGTTTAGTTCGAGGGTTTGATATCTCTTCCTAGGCAAATCTTGTGTCCTAGGTATTTGTAAGCCGTAGTCTGATCGATGGCTGCTTCAGCAATGTTTATGCTTTCGCTGAGTATTAGATTTGTCATAATTTGTGTTTTAGACATATTTATTTTCAGTCCTACTTCTAGGGAGGAGTCAATATCATTCGCAAATCGAAGGTGGTTTAGATTTTCTCCATTTGTATTGATACCTTTTTCACTCAGATTTGCCCTCTTGCATGCACACTCCAACAGTGTGGTGAACAGTCGTGGTGGAATGGTGTCTCCTTGCGGAACTGCGTGTTGTATGGGGAATTTTTCAGTTTGTCTATCGTCCTGTCCAATACTGGCTGTGGCGTTCCGATATATATAATGAATGATGTTTGTATATTGATGGTCTATACGACATTCTGTTAAAGCTTCCAGCATTTTTCCGTGACTGATTATTATGTCTAAAGCCTTTTCGTAATCCACAAATATCAGTAGCAGAGGTTCGTTGTATTCAACACACTTTTCTATCATATTTTTTATTGCCAATATATGGTCGTTTGTTCCATATCCAGATCTAAATCCGGCCTGTTCTCGTGACTGATAAAATTCGAATTTATTTTCTAACCTTTTTGTCAGAACTTTTGTGAATAATTTGTAAATGTTTGAATTTACCTTACTTACCCCTTTCTTATGCAATATGATATTTACTGCGTTATGCCACTGAGTTGGAGTTATTGCGTCAATAGACATTTATTAAAGAGTCTTGCTAGAGCCTRTAGGAGTTTCGAATATATACCGTTAATATAATTTGTTAATATATCTGTCCAATTAGGTACTGTTTTCAAATCGGATATAATAAGGTTMTTCAATTTAGCCTCATATTGCAACTGGATATTTTTTGTTTCTTTTAAAATGAAAGCGAAGCAAATCCGCAAATCAGTAACTTTTYAAAGCACTGTATCTTTCACTCGTTCTACATCATTCTGTTCATTTTCTGCTCGTTTTAAAGGGAATTTCATAGCGGTTAAAAACCAATGAAGAGATMAAAACGTACTTTACGCCAATATGTGCCATATTTTATGTTCGTTGAAAGCAATCATGGGGTTTCATTTAGTTTTTTTTTTAGAAAACTGAAAATTCTGAAATATCAATAAAAGCGCCTTCTACAAACCATTGCATGAATTGTTACTCAGTTTTGGTAGTAAAGCTGAAATGTGGTCTTCCATGGTTTAAGGTCTTGACTGGAGTTTCACCATATGTTTTAAAATCACAATTAAATGTTATTGTTTCAGGATGAACATCGATTGAAAACAGTAGCTGTGCGTGTCGAACCGGTTAACTATGAACAATACAACGCTCACTTAATCCAGAGCATCAAAAAATTAGCAGGCTTAAGCCGCTAGAAAGTTTGTATGGATATATAATTTTTCTTCTTACTATTTATCGGTTGCTTTATACAATACCATTCAATTTGTACATTTATATCTGCATGCATTTTTAAGAAATGCGCAAAACGGTTTTGTTTACATTGCATTTTTTCGATTTTAAGTATTTAATAATGTAACATCTTTGAATTATAAATATACGTTCTCTATTTTGTAGTTAAATGACTTTATACCCGTATAGAACATTAATTCCGGTATTTTTGGGTTACGCGCGATAAGTAAATAATAAATACCTGAATGAAGTGAATTTTTTTCTGGTAATTTTGAATGGTATTTATTGTGGTTCAATTCTTTTAAAAAGAAATATTACCTACGCGTATGAGAGCGATGCGAGACGTGTATCAAGATGTAGCCACTCAGATTAACAGTCATGTTGTCACCCACGCCAAGAAGGCAGACAGATACTTCCCATAGATGAATAGTGGTCGTTGTGATTGTCACAATACATGTATGGGGTTAAAAAGAACGGATAGGAGAGAGATACTCACTAATACGCTACCAACATACAACTTGATCATACTCTGATACTTACCCGGTTAAACAACAGTTGAAACTCAACCATTTTTCAATACAATGGCAGTTGTCGTCATGCGCGTAAAGTCATTCGGGGACGGATCGCATGTGCGTAGAGGCATTGAGTGTTCGCAGTAAAAAAATTACTAGTTCTGAACCGAAAGTTCTATGTTCTCGGTACAGTAAGAGCTGGTTCAGAATCCATTCGTTGCCGATTCTATCAATTCTAGGATTAAATGAAAGGCCAGTGGTCCTGACAAGCGCAGTACAAACAAAACATAGGGTTCGCATCAGCATCGGGACTAGCTCCCGTTATCATTTTTTCGATTTGTTAGGACAAACTGGACACTTTTGTTTACGGGGGAATTTTTGTCGGCTAGTGATACAATGGGTGCCACCAGAATTACATTATTTTTTCTATTTCAAATGTATGGCTTTATTTGTCTATTCACCATGAGGCTGCAGATCTCAATTGTACTAAAATACAGGGTAATTTTTTAGTGCGAGAGAGTCCATTATTTCCGTTGGTGTTGAACTTTCAAAAAAGAGTTTTATATAAAAGTTGTTGACGCACAAAGTGCGCACATTTTAAAAATATTTTATATAATACAGAGTGTCAGAAAAGCGAGGCAAGATCAAAGATTTATTTTAATTAAAAATTTCAAAAAGGTGTTACATTTTGTAAGGTGGCCATTGAATTGCCTCGCTTTTCTGAGACACTCTGTACCATATATAATATTTTAATATATTTATAAAGCTAATAGCTTTATTCGCGACAACGATTCAGAACTGGTTCGGGACTGATCGCATGCGCGTGAGGTATTGGGTGTTCGGCGTCACCTCAAAATACATCGTTTATGAAACACAACCTGTTGATATTGATGATCTTAAAAGGCGAACTGCAGTAGAATGCCAGTCAATTCCCGCTAAAGTTTTCCAAAATGTTAGAGAGGATTTTAAAAACAGACTTTACTATTGTTTCTGCATCTTTGAACTGCGATTATTCGTCAACTTCTGAACTAAAAGCAACAAAGTAGGATACCACTGAAAAGGCAATTGAACGCCCTTTAAAACGATGTGCCACCTGACCGCCGTTCCCATTTAAGGGTAACATCTACCCCTCCCTGGAGCCCAATTCTCGAAACTGGGAACGGCGATCACATGAGAAAGAAGGGCGTGGTTCTCTCGTGAAGCGAATATTGGTATTCTTGAACGCGA